GGTGGTAAGACCTCACAGTATGCTGAAGTGGCGGGGATCGTGATAGCGCTGCGTAGCGCTAGGGACCGTGGCTTCCGTGAACTGGTGGTTTGCACTGACTCGGACTACGCGCGTCTCAGTTTCTTTTGTCATCTACCAACGTGGAAGAATAACGGGTTCCAGACCGTTAGCCGGAAGCCCGTCAAAAATCAGGCCCTCTTCAGGGCATGTGACATTCTGGTGACTGCACTTGACATGCACATTTACTGGCGTAAAGTCAAAGGTCGCTCTCGCTCACCCGGTCCTGAAAAGGAGTTGAACGATCTTGCAGACTCTTTGGCCAAACAGGGCGCGACCGATGGTCCCCTGTGGGTTTTCGAACCCGGGTGGCTTGAGGGACATGTGTGGTCTTTCCCTGATGAAAACCAGGTGTGTGTAGTTACTCGAGCTCGGGCTGCTAAAGCGTCCGACTCGGAACCACCCAAGGGTGCGGTGCCCGTTCAACCTGCCTATTCGGATACCGATCTTGTCAGTCTTCAATCCCGGGACCCTGCTATCAGCAGGATGATCAAGTACATTTCTGATCCTAAAACCCAGCTACCGACTTCCGTCGAGCTTGATTCCGTTCCAGAGCTTCGCTCTCTCTTTCGTGTGCGGTCCACGCTGAGGGTCGTCGAAGGGCTGCTGATGCACGCCGCCAAGCCTCCTTCGCCGCCTGTCCTTGTTACTCCAAAACCGCTGAGGAGGGGCATGATCTCGCAGGCTCATGACTCTCCATCTGCCGGTCACAAAGGCGTCAAGGCCACGTTCGGTGCCCTGTGCCAGGTTGCTTATTGGCCGGGGATGCGTCATGATATCTCGGACCACGTCGAGTGTTGCTTGGTTTGTTGTCAGTTTCAGCCGTCCAACCCTACGCACAGAGCTCCCCTACAAGAAAAAGGGCCGACCACTCCGTGGTCGGACTTGCAATTCGATTGGGTGGGGCCTCTGACCAAATCCACCAGAGGGAGTAAGTACATACTGACTGTCACCTGCGCATTCACCAAAGGGGTTGAATGTTTGCCAGCACCTGATGACACAGCTAAGACTACAGCGATCCTCTTGCTGAATCACGTTTTTGCCCGCTTCGGTTTGCCCGCGAGGGTCGACTCGGACAGGGGTACCCATTTCACCTCTGACGTGATGAAACATCTTTGGGAACTGTTGGGTGTCAAGGCTAAGTTCCACATTAGCCACCGGCCCCAGTCCTCTGGCCAGGTCGAAAGGGTGAACCGCACGGTTATCAGCATGTTAAAAAAGTACGTGAAAGCTAACCACCGAGATTGGGATGTGAAACTTCCGTTGGTCCTCATGGCCATACGGGCTACCCCTCACGAGTCTACAGGTGTCTCCCCGTTTGAAATGATGACGGGTAGACAGATGACCCTACCGCTTCACCTGCTGTATCAACGACAGGTTCAGTCCGACACAGCCCCGGCGTGTACGAGCGGCCAATACTTGCAGGACCTGAGAAATCACCTGCTTGCAGCATCCTCGTTCGCACAGGCGTCTCTGGGAAAGTCAGCTGAAGGCAGAAAAACTTATTACGATAAGAAAGCCTCACATTCCGAACTCGATGTAGGTGACCAGGCCTGGTACTACATTTTCGCTCCCAAAACGGGTAACAACAATGCGACCTTGGGGAAGCTGGCTAAGAAACTTCTGCCCAGATGGTCGGGTCCATACCTGATTACAGATAAGATCTCTCCGGTCGTGTATCAGATCAAGATCGCCGACAAAAACAAGGCGCCCGTCTACAAATGGGTACACAGGGACCATATCAAACTGCACAAGGGTCCCACAGATTTGGCCGATACCAACAACAACAATCCACTATTTCAAAAGGGGGGTGATAAATACGTCCCGTTGGTTCCACAGATTTCTATCTCTGATTACACAAATTTGTTTGTTTGTGAGTGTACATGGTTGTCTTTCCTGTTATACGTCACGTGCAGACTTAAGGTGTGTTGAGACGGACATGCTGTGGGCTCCTGGAGTCAGGTAACAGTGAGTGGGTTAGGTCACATAGTACTGTTGTCCAAAATTTTGTTTTGTTTTAATCTTTACTAATCACAATTCCTTAGGGTACATTAACATGAACATGATTACTAACCACTGATTTACATTTTAGTACTGATTTACATTTCTGTTTTTTTTTATAGTACCTTTGACCAGTTGATGTTTACAGTGAAAATTATGTTCGTGATTATCAATTCTTTGATTTATCCTACTGGGCTATAACCAATTTTGCCCCTGTCCTGACACAAGTATTTACAGTGAGGATTCACTGATACCATTTAGGGTTTCTTTCGTTTTTCTGCTTCTCGCATCATTCCTTTTTGCATCTTACACAGTCAGGGCTGCATCCATTTCTTCACTTAATGGGTAATTACACTTAAAACTAACACATGGTACAAAAGGCACTCATAGAGTTAGGTTTTTATTATTTTTTATTTCTTTGATGACATGAAATGCACTTTTGTCGTGTCTACATTGAAGTGCCTACACTGTGCTCTCTCTCCTCTGCTGAGCTTGTGAGGATCCTGCGTCCTGGGGGTGGATCCGTGACTCGTCATCTGCATCGACTACTCCTGGGTGGTGGTCCGGCTCGTTGGCCTTGGACGACTGTGGTTCCGGCATGGCTGCTGGGACACCTCATTCGTTGGGATTACTGTCACCTGCTCTTCCCTTTTTGTGGATTACGATAAGTACTCTTTCAAAGTTCAATTTTTATTTGGAATATTACCCTGCCTGCGGATACAACAATCGATTTTTAATTGGAATACTACCCTGTTCGTGGATACGTTCAAGATTTGCTCCTGCTTTGCTTTATTGCCCGTGAGGATATGACGTTGCTGTTGCTTCGTTTATGGCTTCCATGGGGAATAATTAATAACCTGCTGACTTGTGTTCTTCCTGAGGAGTATGCGAGACTGTTCTCCGGCGTGGGGTTCGTACCTCACCACAGATGGCTGTTCCCTTGGGATCGCATCCGGTTCTGTTGTCAAGATTCTTCATAACTTGGGTTTGTTCAACGACCAAGTGGTCTCTTGAAGGACCACATTGACCTTGAAAAGGGGGGATATGTAAGGTTATGAAGTTCATGGTTTTCAACTCCATACAGCTGCCCCCTGTGCACAATAACACCGTGTAGAAAAACCAAGGTCGGGTGTTCCTCAGACTGTTTACATTCCAGGAGAAGAGTCCGAAGGAGAAGAATAAACTTTACTTAATCAAAGTACTTTATTTGTGATTAAAATTATTAAGCAAAACAGATGTTGATCAACAATAATCAAGTGAATGATCTGTGAAATAAATATGTCATGAATTATGTTTAATGAAAACAGGACTACGGCACAGACATACTGATCCTCATCTCCATAGAAACGCATGACACATTGTTCCAACCAATCAGAGCTTTCGGCTGCCGCAGGAGAATCTGGTGTTGACTTCAAGTGTCCAATCCACTTTACTGAAACTTATCAACAATTCAGAGATATAAAACAAGGCAACGCCATTTTTAAGTCAGTTCCATTTTGACTTCAGTTCTATTCACCATCATCCTAAAGGAAAGCGCAGCCTGGCCAGATGTGTTTTCTTCTTTAAACTAAGAACTGTGAAGCGGGAGATTTTCGTCGTTTAACAACCAGACGACGTCCTTTCAAAATAAGAGCACCTGCTGACGCCGCCGAACGGTACCGGGGTCGACCCTCCAGACGGGCTTTGAAACGTTGTGATCGCTGCACCGACAGCTCCATCGTACATCCGAGGTCTCCAGACCTGGCATTTCCTGATCTACCTGGGAGACCCCCACTGGGTACGTACACGGCAAAATAGCGGCTCATGTCATCACTTTATAAGCCTCGTGATATCTAGTCATAACAAAGACGACCAGATTCATTGACGTCAGCCTAGAGAATCTGAACCAGACACACACACACACACGCACGCACCAACACAACATCCGAATCCATTCTCATCCATCACAGAGTAGTCCTGGTAGATTGTTTAGAATTTATAATTCAGAAATTAAAGATTCTCAAACGATCCCATCTCTCTCTCTTTTCTTTTTTCAAAGTCAATACAGAGTGTTTAATTAAACTCCCTGATGATAAAAACAGTCTATTCTTCTGTTTATAAAAAGTGAACTACCTACAGTGTATTAAAATACAACTTTAGATAGAGACATCACTTTGATTCCGTTACATCCGCGAGGGACTCGGGAAATAGCGTCCTTGGACAGAAGTTCCCGCAGCTCCAGCTCTAGCGCCTGAGACTGTACTTGCGATGTGAACGTCGTCTCCACGATCCTGTTGAAGGGAGGTGGAGTGGCCTGAAAATGAAGTGTGTGACCGCAATGAATGGTGTCCGAAATCCATTTGCTCATGATACAAAGGCGGCGCCACTCGTGCGCGCGTTCCGACAGTGGACGCGTGTGCGCGGTCACGTGAACAACGTCCGAGGGTTGTGTATGCGCCCTTACCGCCGTCGCCCGTACCAGAGAACTGGGGGCGACCCATGGAGGGCTGCGCTCGAAAGGGCGATTGCGAAACAGCTGGAACAGGCTGGTCCACACCATGGAGCGTGAAGTCCGAGAGTGAAGGACGAGTGGGAGCCGGGCCCGTGCACGGGGGCGACAGAGTGCCAGCGGATGGAGCCGCGCACTGTGCCGCCGCGCGTGGTCGAGACAACGACCTGACATCCCGCCCCACCCAACGGTGTGGGGAGAGCGGGAAGAGTTGGGCCTGGCCGGATGCTGGGGCCGGAGCGCAAATGGAGCGCACCCTTACGGCTGGCCGTGTATTATGACTGCCTGTACCTGCAGGAACATGTGTGCGTGCAGCAATGCTTGGTGTGGGGAACATGTGTGAGAACTCGGCAGAGGATTCTGCGGAGGACTGTAGGATTATGCTCTTTGAGTGACGTTTTTTGGGTTTTATTTCAAAACCAACAACAACATCAGAACAATCAGTAACACACACATTCCCCCCAAAGAGTCACTTCCGTGGCTGCTTTCTGCGAGGCTCCTGCACTTGGGACTGCCAAGACTGTGTCTGCTGGCCCCGCCGGAACCGTTGTAAGCCATCTCGCTGGTCCCGCTGATGTGGAGCCGAAGCAGGAGGCCGGTTCCGTGGAGCGGGCGGTGCAGCTGGACGTCTGAAGCTTCCGCGCCGTTTGTCCCATCCTCTGGCTGAACGGCCGGAGTGCGAGGCTGACCGAGGGTGGACCAGGTCTCGCACCATAGCCGATAGTTCGGCCATCTTCTGAGCCCGCTCAATGACGCCCCTAAGATGGGGACCAAACAGAACATCGGTGGTGATGGGGCCGTCTAGCATCTCCCTTTGCAGATGTTCCGGAATAGAGGGCAGGGCCTTCAGCCAGATCGCTCGCTGGATGAGGGTCTGCCAGGCAGCGATGCGAGCAGAACCGGTGAGCACAGCAGCACACAGATTGAGGATAGCATCAGCAGTCTTAGTAATGACGGCTTTCGACTCCTCGGGAGCTTCCAGCTCCTCCATCATCTTTGAGACGCCGAAGGCAAGAAGGGCGATGTTATTCGCTGCAGCGCCGGTCTGAAAGGCACACTGATGTGCGCGGTCGGTGAGCCGCGTTAGCAGCTGGTCATGTTTTGAAGTGGGAAAAGCTCACGGGCCAGCGAGGTGGTTCTTGGCGCCGAACAGCGAGGCCAAGTCCGGCTCTAGCGGAGGAACGGACGGCCAGCCTTGGTCGGAAAACCCCTCGACCTTGGTGATGGGCGCATACGTGGAGACTGGCGCCTTGAGCTTGGCAGGCTCGGAGAAGGCGGCAGACCAGCAGCTCATAGCAGCGGGGAAGCGCGGCCAGATAGGGTCTGGACAGCGTGTCTGAGTCGCCCCGAAAATTCCCGCCAAATCATCCGCTTCAGGCGGTGCCGGTTCTGGCACAGCTAGCCCCTTGCGGGCTGCTGCCGCAGAAATTATGGCGGGCAGCTCCTGGAGCAGTGCTCTTACTGCTGGCAGGGAGGAACGAGAAGCCACTGGGGCAGGAGGACCCGCTGAGCGAAGCTCGTCGACCTCCGTTATGTCTAGGAAGGATGCCGCCTCATCGTAGTTTTCGCTGTCGGTGACGTCATCCAGCCGGTTGAAGCCAGCCGGCTCCTGACCGGCGTCGAAGAAATACAAAGCCTTGTCCAGCGGGTACGAGTCAGCGACCGGAAATTCTTCGTCGGCGGCGGGAGTGAAGTACTCGACCCGGCGAATCTTCTCCGCCACGGGCAGAGCGGCACAGAACGGGCACGAGGCCTGCGGGGTCAAGGCCAGGCCAGCGTGGTGAGCCCCGAGACAGACCTCACACTTAGCGTGCAGGTCACCGCTGGAAATGGAGCCCGTCTGGCAGGTCGGGCAGGGTCTGGCATCGCTGGACATGGCTGGTAAGTCGTCTTCGGATAATGTTGCTCTTTTTAGGATAATATTTGCTCTTTAATAAAGCTCTCAAGCTTGGCATGAAGAGAAAAAGGAGGTGAGCAGTGTGGTCACTGCGGTTATATACCACGAGGGGGCCCACTATTGGTGGGCGTACATTTTAGCTCTTCATGACTGGCTGATGCGGAGATCATCCTTCCAATAGCAGCTAGCTTAAGGGCTAAGACTAGACGAAATAGAACTACAAAAAATGAAAAAATCAAATCATTTTTTGTGTGTTATGTCCAGATGACCTCTTTTGTGGGTAAGTTGTCACAGCCTTGGAGTGTCACAAATAGGCGTAAAAATATTTTTTTCTCACTTTGTAGTTTTTGTTTGATGTCATATTTTCTAAAATACACACGTTAAAGTCCTTTGAGCACAAAAAAATGCACTTACAAAGATGGCCAGTTGAACACTTTATTAAAGCACATGAACAAAAAAAAGTGTGCGTGTGTGCATGTGTGTGTGTGTGTGTGTGTGTGAGAGAGAGAGAGAGAGAGAGAGAGAGAGAGAGAGAGAGAGAGAGAGAGAGAGAGAGAGAGAGAGAGAGAGAGAGAGAGAAACACAGAGGGGAGTGAGCTAACAGCTGTGGGTTAAGCACTCAGCTGATAAGTGCTCCTCGCACACTGCCTGTCCATATTTTCTGCCAAAGCGTGCATGCAAGCCTGCGCTTCGGTATGTAGTTCACCGCGGTGGTGGAGTAGGTGAAGGCGAAGAGGGAGGACAGAACCGCTCTGCTTCTCATCTGCAGCAGCTGTATGTTGCGACGAGCTGAAATTAAAATAAATGAATAAATAAATAAAATATGCAATTAGGTTGGCGAATTATAATAAAACTAAATAAATTACCTTGTCCAAGTTGTCAACAGCCCCTTTGCAGTGGTTGTAATCAAGGATTACAGTCGGCTTCTGCTGCGATCCCTCCTGGATCTCAACCCGATGGTGTTTGGTGCTGAGGAGCAGAACGTCCCGTCTGCGCTTCGGTATGTAGGTCACCGCGGTGGTGGTGGAGATGACGGCGAAGAGGGAGGACAGAACCGCTCTGCTTCTCATCTGGAGCAGCTGTGGTGGCAGCTCTGGCTTGTTGCGCCTAACTGTTCCCACAAGACACATTTTATTTCGGAGCAGCTCTTCTCCAAGGGCTAATGATGTGAAAAAATTGTCCGTGGTCAGAGGCGGATTTAGCAATTTGGGGGCCCAAGGCGAACACAGACATGGGGCCCCTTACACAAAATTTTCAACAATCTTACCTTTAACTGGATTTGCGAAACTCTCCCCTCTTCTGACATGAGTTATTTTCCCTTTTTATTAGTCCTCCTCTTTTTTCCTGTTTTTCCCTCCTTTTGAGTGCTTTCAATATTTGCTCTGCTTTCTTTTTCCTGTCAGTGCTCCTGTGCTGTTGCCTTTGGTTTTTTTTTTCTATTTTCCATTTTGGTCTTTGTTTTCCTCCTTTTAAACATTTTCCATTGTCTTTCCTTTCTGCTTCCTTTTGATGTTTATCGAGAAACGACGTCACTTTCAGAAGTGAAAATAAAAGCTTTTATGAAACATGCAGCTTCTTTCTCTTATTGGAGCCACTAGGATAACTTCATGTCATGCTTAATGTTTTGACTATCGCTTTGAGTTTGTTACGAACGCTCCCACCTCTCTTCTTATTATTATTTGTGGTCTTATGGCACTTGGCAAACAACCATTTGGTGCATTACCGCCACCAACTGGATTGGAGTGGAATGACTACCAATCACTTCCTGTTTGTGCATCGCCGTCTTAATGACCCTCTTATGACCATAATTATAACAGGGCCACCTGGTTTTTTTTTTTAATCTTGTGGCTGTAAAATTGTAATAAAAAGTACAAAGTGTGTGTAACTCTTCTTTTTTCAGAACAACCTCAGCTTTCAGTGTATGGTTTGTATTTAGAATTTATTTCTATTAAAGCCTTTAAAAAATCAGCTTAAAAGTGAGAAAAGCAAAAAACGGAATTGAATTTTTTTACATTTATTACTGAACAGGAACTTCAAAATTACTGGGTGAACAATTTGGAATGAACAATTTAAACTTTGATTTGTAATGCATCTATTCTTAAAAAAGTTTAAACCTTGGTATCTTTTTTAGCAGTTTTTAGGACCATTCATTTTTGTAAACTTTCTGACGTTTTTATTTGATGTGGTAGACCTTGAAGCAGTTTCTCTTCAGCTACAGGCAGAGTCCTGCACACCTCACACTGCCATGGGGTGCAGACGTGCACTGCTATACCAAAAACATTTTGTTTTAGCAAATGTAATTATTTATTGTAAAAAGATAAATAATGCTGGAATGTGTCACGCAGTCTCCCTCACAACCATCGACCTCCTCAAGGGAGGAACCGCAGAGCCGCTCAGACCATCCGAACTCCATTACTCAACATCCCCAGTGCCAGTCTTCCGGTTCACGTCACCCGCCAAGTCTACTTAAGGAAATGCCGCACAACGCCGAATCACTCAGTCATCGTTCTCACCGAACCGAACTCAGAGTCTAGACCAGATCGTCTCAGATCACTCAGCCTATGCAAACCAGATCAGCCAGATCTAAGAGACCTGACAACTCTTAGAAGTCAGCCCTGTGCTGTGGGAGCCGCTGTGCTCAGCTGTTTCTTCATACCGCTGCGCACCCGGCTCCTAGATTAAACAGCGTGATCACTCCACCCGGCGTCAGTCACTCCGCTCTTGGGTTAAGAAGCCACGCCACATCTCCAACTCTCGCTCAGCTCGAGTCAGCCACTACAGAATGAAGCTGAATCTTACAATTAGCAAATAGTTGAGGGTTGTTCAAATAAAAAAATAAAGAATGAACAAACGTTCATACCCTGGTTCACTGGAGATCTGGCCTTCTTCGTGGTCACTGTCTTCAGATATAAGCCTTCTGGGACACCTAATAGATCGTGTTGATTTTCTTTGAGGCATTTCCATAATTTCATGCTGGTTTTTATGCTAATTAGCTTCCCCGTTCCGTTATCCGCTTTCACCGCGGCGCTGCACTCCGTTTCAATCAGGCTGTACAGCAGGATTTCCCCTCGTAGCGATATTTTCCATAACTCTGATTGCTTCATGCTATAGATCGTTGGAAAGCTGCTTTTATGTACTTTTAGGAACCGTTGGAAGTTTTTGAATCTGATCAGCCATTCAATAGTTATAAAACGGAGCATTTTGGATGACAAACAGCACGTCTCTGAATCTGTGTTGTGATTCGTTGCACTCAAGACGGAATCCCGGTGACTACCGTAATGTATTGTATATGCACGAAAAGCCCCATTTTTAATCTTTTCAGCACTTTTTGAATTTTAGTGATATCTTGAACGGTTCAGGAATTATGGTAACGAGAAGTATGTTCAATCCCGTCTGCGGCCACAGGTTGGTAATAAGAATATTGTGGCATTAACAGAGGGGTGCCGGCGGTCAGGTCTAGGAGGCCCCCCAACACAAGGGGGCCCCAGGTGACCGCCTACCTATGCCTAATGGTAAAACCGCCTCTGTCCGTGGTGACAGTGCAGCTGCTCAGTCGCTCGGTGAGCTCCAGCACCACCCGCCTCCCTTGCTCCCTTTGTGCCGGGGCGTCTCGCGTCATCTTGCCCAGGTAGGGAAAAATCCCCCAGACATAAGAGGCCACATCGCACACCACCCACAGCTTGATGCCATATTTTGCCGGCTTTGAGGGCATATACTACTTGGAAGTTGCAGCGACCTATGAATCCGACGAGCTGTTCATCCACACATACATCTTCACCGGGGTTGTAGGCAAGAGGGAGCCAGCCCACCCGGAAGTCCCACACCTCCCAGAGGGGAGCGAGCTTGTACTGCTGCACCAACCGGCGTGCTGCCCTCAAGCGGTCATCAAACTGTTGCCGTGAGCAAATGGAACCTTCGCAGGCTCATTGTGGCTCTGAAAATCGGCCTCTCTGTTTCCTCCCAGAGGCTTTTAGTAAATTCCCCCAGGAACGGAGCACCCCCAGCGGGGACGAGCAGCCCAAGAAATGCGTGGAGTTCCACGTCGTCAACATCTGTCCAGTTGTCATACTTTCTCCTCCCCTCTATATTATTAGTGTGTTTAATTATTATATCAAGGATTGTTCTTGTTAAAAAAATAAATCGAAGCCGTCTAGGAAGCGGGTGATCCCTCGACGAAGGAAGTGTGAGGCCGACAGAGAATCCTGATGTCAGGTGTTGATCTGCGTTGAAACTTCTTCTCATGCTTGTGGCAGAAAGAAATTAATCCGGATCCGAGTCTCATATGTACTTTTAGTGAATTGGTGTGCCTGTGTAAACTGACCCCAACTCTATGTAAACAAACTCAGCTCTGCAGGAATTTGTTTTGCAAAACAAATGTATGCCTTTGAAGTTTTTCAGCCTTCATCTTAATTTTCATCCATGCAAATGCTTTGTGCTTGTTGAAATAACAGTTTGCAAAAGTAAAATTGTGAGTAACTGAAATTTTGCAGAAAATCCTTTGGTTTTTATATGTAGCATGCCTTTGATGAATATTCATGATTTCAACAGTGTGCATGAGAACCTCGCCCCCCCCCCCCCCCCCACACACACACACACACTCCCCTTGCCACACCTGCACAACTACTCTAAATAATGATCACAGATCTGTCTTTTGAAGATTTGTAAAGTGCTTTGATCCCTGCATGCAAGCATGCCTGCACAAGCATACAGAGTGACACATGTCAAAATGCCATTTTGAGAATGAGCAGATTTTCTACTTTCAGTAAAGGCTTATTTTTTAAGGCACACTGTAAAAACACAATTACCAAAAATTCAGAACACACACATGCAAACTATTGTATGGAATCTCTAAATAACACACAAACCATTTTTTTGCAAAATATGTGTTATAATGGAGTCAGAAGTAAAGAAATACAGCAGAATCATTTAATTCAAATGCAGTGTCAGTCATTGCCCTGCTATATATGGAGAAAATACGCCATCTATTGGAAAACGGTAAAAACTAACCATCGAATGAATGAATGAATGGTCTGAGAACACAGACAAAATAATATTTTTTAAAAATTATGCTAATATTTATGCTTATCATAAAAATATGATTTACATGGAAGTCAATGGCGCAAAAAAAGCAGAAAGATGCTTAACGCTACTAAAAAATTATGCGTTATAATAAAGGAAGTTGAAGATTTTTTCTAACTATTTTTAGTAATTCCTTCAAAAATACACATCCTCCCCAAAAATAGATCAATTGCATTAACATAGCCAAAGTTATACACAAAAATACTTGAGTCAGCACAAACAAATGCTTTAATGTTGGGTAAGGGTTAAATCATTTTCTTGAACCAGTTTGAGCTAAAATTACCCTTTACTGGGTGAATGACCCACACCGCCTTGTGTGGCCAGAATAGGGCTTGGGATTATGTTGTCATCAGTGACGCAGCTGCCATGTTGGCGACTTTCAAGTCCTTAACTGTTACTCCAGACACCAGCATGCTCACTGTCAGTCTTGCAACTTCATTTATTCTATTATTCATTGGATCGGTTATATTACGCAACCACGGTAAATTGTTGCTGTGTTGTGGGGCGTAACGTGATCCCCAGGGAAAAAGGTGGAAAACAAGCTAACTTTTCACGGAGACCAAGTATCTATAACAGAGTCTCGTCGGCCCGCTTGGATCACAACTGTAAAGCAACCAAACATCACCTTCTGGAGTATTTTCATTTTTTTAAGTTACAGATGGTGTATGTTTTTTACTCATCGTGTCTTTCCTTCAACAGCAACATGCACACACAACACACACACACACTGGTAGGCTAATGACGGCGCACTGACACAACACAATTCCTCCTGCTACACTTCTTCTATAGGATGACAATTTTGATCGTTTTACTAGGAAAACAAGCAAAAGAAACGTTTACGTCTCACCCGCACGTTTACATCCGCTCACACCACAAACATGTAGGCCGAACACGTCTGTTATGCAGAGCTACAGTGGCAACACGTTGTCGTTGGTTCTCTAGTCTTGGGTCTTTCATATGGATCCAAACCCTTAATAATGCTAATACTGGTCCCTGGCTTTCCTCTTTAACATATGCCTGTATATTCCCCACATCCGTTTAGGGATTTTAACATGTTAACGCTTCCTTTCTCCAAAATCTGCTTCTTCTCTGCAGCACACGGTTTGTTTACACTCGTAAGGTCATCAACATGTCTTCCACATCCCAGAATGCAACAAATAATCACGTGTGATCCCGAGCCTTGTAACGAATTTGCAACTTCGGACTGCCAGTCCAGTCTGTTGGACTTAGAAAAAAGTTGAGCTGACATACTTGGTGCAGCAGTCTGCTTCCAGCAAGTTTCCTTCATGTTATAGATCATGACCACAGCTGATTTGTTTGATTTACTTGTGAATCGCTACTGTCGATATTAATGAAGGCTGGGGAGACATTTCAACAGTTAGATTAAGGTGTTAAAAAAACAATCACACAGCGAGGAGCTAAGTTGTGCTTAGGGGTTCTACTAAAGGGACACTAGGAACGCTAAAAGCAAGCCATAACTGCCTAGTCTCCCCTTAAAACATTTAGTTAATTTAGTATTTTCTAAGTTTTTTTAGTTTTGCACAGTCCGTGTAAAAATGGTTCAGGATAGATTCCTCTGCATGTAGTACTAAAAACACGACAAAGGAATCTGGTTTCCTATGCTGTGATGTTTGAGTTACTGAGCTTTAAATCCAGCGGCGCTACGGTAGCAACAAAGAGAGCTGCAGGCACAATTTAGGAGCAGCACTTCATGATAAAAGGAGACAAAGATTCCTTACTGAGAAAATAAAACAGACATGGTGGCCATGATGAGACTTGTTTTACTGAAGCTACACACACTCTGAACCTTCAGATCAGCAGGTCTTGCATTTGCATGTGGGTGTTTTTATGCTTTAGATGTAGAAAGTTTCTCTTGAATGGTTCCTGCTCTGGTTAGAAGTCAGCTCGTCTCCTTCAGGAAAATTCTCACCGGCTCTCTGAACTGCAGGGAAGATACTGGCCGACCACAACGACCCCACACAGCCCCACTTCTAATACTA